ATGGCCCCAGTTCTCGGCCAAGATAACATGAATTTTGTCCCTCTGTCTGTATTCCCAATGATTGTCTATGTTATTCATATGCATACCATTAGGACTGTGGATATTTTTTTCAATGGTTGGCTGGCTTGAGGGCACTTGACAGAACATAGACGAGCCCAAATGCCTAGGAATGCGTGTGAGGGCCCTTGAGATGTGAAATAGAGAAGGAGAAGGGCGTAGGAAGCCAAAAAAAAAAAAAGGGAGTGGGCTAGAGGTGGAGGGGGTTGATGCTGGGAAAGGTCCCTTTCTCCAGACTATGTTGAAATTCAACAAAGAACCATGTGCTGCCTACTTTTATGTCAACTTGTCATAAGCTAGAGTCATCACAGAGAGGGGAACCTCAATTGAGAAAACATCTCCATAAATTCCGGCTATAGGCAGGTCTATAGGACATTTTCTTGATTAGTGATTGATGTGGGAGGGCCCAGCCCACTGTGGGTGGGGCCACCCCTGAGCTTCGATCCTGGGTTCTATAAGAAAGGAGGCTCAGCAGCACTTCTCCATGGCCTCCATCAATCAGCTCCTGCCCCAGGTTCTCTACCTCTTTGAGTTCATGTCCTCACTTCCTTCTGTGATGAACAGTGGTGTGGAAGTGTGAACCGAGTAAAACCCTCTTCTCCCCATGTTGCTTTTGGTCATGGTGTTCCACCACAGCAATATTAACCCTAACGAGGATAAACCTGAAGTTCAAGAATTCTGCATTTCGGCCTGGCCTTTTGGGTATTGATAAATATTTAGTTCCCAAGGTATGAGAAAAGGACATACTCTTTTTAGTGTAGGTCATATTCTTAGTAAGTTTGTGTGCCTCATTTCTCACATGGCACTAACCTTCCCAGGCTCTTTATAATATTCGGGGCAGGTCTGTACAAGATGGCGTACCCTGACAGCAAAACAAGAGCCAGAACAAAACCTCACTGGAATATTCAGAAATCCTGGCAAGGGTGCTCATTGGAAGGCCTGAGTGACATCTAGGTTATACTTAAGCATTGGGAAGGCTTCAAAATATGAAAAGATTATACTCAAGGGGATGATGGCCTCGTTCCCAGAACACTTACTATCAAAACAGAGAACATGGAAACAGAATTAAACAAGACACTCCCCTCAGCTTGTTTCATATTTTGAAGCATGAGGAAGTCTAGTAAAGGCTCAAACAAATACAATAATCTAAAACACAAAGAATATTGATATCACTTCAGTTTCCAGCCAAGAGAGAAGGGAGAAAGACTAGAGATGGTTGCCAGATATTTTGAACTTGGAAGTTTTGACTTGAAGGGTCCTGTTGAGATTGCAAAACAGGCCACACCTGTGTGTGCACGGAAAACCACCTCGCTGAGTGTTTTCTTCACAAAGAAATTGGCAAGGAAGTGCTGACCGGTCAGATCTGGAACATATTTGCTATAAATACCTGTTTTCTTCCCTTTTGCTTCTTCTAATTGTTTCAGTTTCTTTCTAATTAGCTAACCCCAGAGACTATTAAAGAGCAAGGTTACACTGGGTTGATTAGGGGCAGCATAACGCGTAAAGGATTTTATGGAAAACTGTATTTCCTTGATGAAAACACATTTTTAGAGTCCTAATAATATTCTGGTATGTTAATTTTACATTATATTTCTAAATATAATCTTTGAATATAAAATTGGACTAGGGTGCCGCAGTTAAAGGCATGAGTCGACTGCTAAGCCTGATAACCTGAGTTGGATCCCTGAGACTCACATGACGAAAACAAAGAACCAACCCCTGCAGGCTGTCCCATGACCTCCCTACACTCACTGTGGCACCTGAGCTCAAGCTTCAGAGAACACACACTGAATGAAAGT